TCCCCAGGTCTTGCCACACTGCTGGCCAACCAGGTCTCCACCTGGGTTCACAGGAATCTATTGAACGTTGTAGGGCTTTAGCTCACAGCTTCATTGCTGTTTTTCCCTCACTTCCCCTTATTGGTGACGAACATGGTCACCAATCAGAGAGTGTATTCCCATTGAATCTTAGTCTTGGAAGGGGGTGAGATCCTCTGAGACCACATAATTGGTACAACTCCACCCATTAAAAAAAATAAAAGCAAAGTAAAACAACAACAAAAAAATAAAATAAGAGGAGTAGAAAACATACCCTATGTTTAAAGAGAGAGCAAAGGGACAACACAGGACTTCAATGAATAATATGTTATTTATGTGTGCAGTTACTAGTTAATATCCCTCAAGTTAGTGTGGTTTCTTTAAATTGCTAACATGAAAATCTTAACCTTCCACTCCGAAGTTATTGGTTTTAGCTACCCTGTTTTCTTCTTCTAGAGTCTCAAAGTTGCTCTTTTGGGCATGTGTTTAGAAATGTAATTATAGCTTTGGTTGTAAACTTTTGAACCACATAATCAAATACAGACTGTCATAGTGGAAAAGAAACAATTTTAGCTTTGCCTACATTGACAAGGAATGTGACTGGATTCAAACTCACGTGAGTGGCATGCCTTTGTAGTGACTGTTTTCCCCTGGGAGAAAAAACAAAACAAAACAAAAACCCGAGTTCCATGTTGTGGGAAATGTAGACAGTCAGAGGGGTTTGGAGCCAGGTCTCTCTGGCAGCACCTTACCAACCATGTCAGTTCTTTCCTTTTTGATCCATTAAATTAACTTGATATTCTCTTCATTGATTTCCAGATGAAGAGTTGTATTCAGTGTAATGCATTATAGACAGGATTATAGTTGTTGTTAAATTCCCTCGAGTCCTTTCCGACTCAGCAAGGGTTTCCAAGGAGGGGTGGGTAAGTTAGAACCACAGACCTTGTGATTTCAACCGACCTTGTAGTCCAATGCATTAACCCACAGAGCCACCAGGGCTCAATAGATAGGATTGGTGGTGGTGGTTATGTGCCGTGGAGTTGGTTCCGACTGATTGCGACCCTGTACAGGGTTTCCAAGGCTGTAAATCTTTATGGGAGCAGAAAGTCTCATCTTTCTCCTGCGGAACAGCTGGTAGTTTCGAACTGCTGACCTTAAGGTTGGCAGCCTGATTCATAACCACTACGCTACCAGAGCTCCTTATATATAGATAGTATTAGAAAGAGTAATTTTAGAAAGTAAACTAAAACCAAAACTAACATGAGAAATGACTCTCCTGGTCTCCAGTTTTTCTGCTTAGTTGGAATGCCCATTTGATTATTTATTTACGTGTGGTTCTAAAGTTCAAATTGTGACCTCTTTAGAATGTCTCGTCCAGATATTACTTTAGGAAAATAATTCCTATCTAAACCTCCCCACCCCCAACAACAACAAAAACAAAACACATCAAGTTAATTCAGATTCTTAATAACTCTCTAAGACAGAATAGAACTGCACCTTACTGTTTCTTGGTGTTTACAGGAGCAGACTGCCTCATCTTTCTCCTACAGAGTGGCTGCTGGGTGAACCACCCACCTTGTGGTTAGCAATCTAACGCCTAACCCACTGCACCACCTCAAATCCTGTATATACTCTGGATAGTTAGAGCTGTAAATAATTCCATATTTTTACAGTAGTTTTGTGAAGGGAAGCGTGGTGCCACTTATCAAGAATTGTTTTCTTTAATCTTATTTAAATCTTAATGCCAAGCTAGATCTAGCACACCCTTAGAACTGTACTGTTTTCGACACGTTGTTACAGAAGATGGTCACCATTGTCCAAAAGAAACTGTCTAGTCCTTTGGGGATTGTTGTTTTGTTTTCCTGGAAGAATCCAGAAATGTCATAAGTACAATGAAAGGCTATCAGCAAATGGAGAGAATTCACTTTTATTCTCTTAAACTTTTAAATTGATGTATACAGTATTATATTTTCTAGTCTGACCTTGCAATAAATGAAAATCTAACTCTAGAGGTTTGTATTTGGATTAGTAATCCAGTTATCATGGAGAGAAGGACAGCGGCTACCACTCTTTCTTCCTTTTATTCTGGAATGTGTTTTAATTTTTGGTGCATCTTGACGGAAACCCTATTCGATTTTGGATAGATAGTATTTTTAAAAAGGCTCCAATACATTCCAAGAATATTTCTTTCACATGCAATGTTACGGGTCTCTCAATGACAACCGTTTCCCAGACGTTAGCTGTCATTTCACCTGCATCACCCCAGAGCCATTTGACATTTGACGTGGTTCTGAGCTAACCGACAACGCAAGCATCGCTGGTAGATTCACAACCTGGGGGCTGGATCTGCGCTCCCACTGCGCCCCCGCGTCGCAGTGGTTTCTCCTGCAGGTCGCTCCCCTGGGCGGGGCGGCCAGTAGTGCAGCCCACGAAGCAGCGGCTGCGCCCCTTTCCTCTGGGTGGCCCCAGCGCGCGCGCGCGGACACTCATTCAGCCCTGGGAGGTGAGGCAAGAAGAGGCCAGTGCGGAATTTGCAACCCAGCCGCAGCGCCGGCCAACTAAGCCCCGGAGCCCGGTAAACAAAAGAGACCGCTCGGCTTAGGCAGGCACAAGCTGAGTTGGGCCTGAACACAGAGATGGCCGGGCAAGGCTGCCGGGCGGTGCTGGCGCTGTGCTGGACATTGACCGCCTGCGCTTGGCTGTTGGGTACCGAAGCCCAGGAGCCCGGGGCACCCACGGCGGGCTTGAGGCGGCGGCGGCTTCTGCTGCAGGAGGACGGCATCTCCTTCGAGTACCACCGCTACCCCGAGCTGCGCGAGGCTCTGGTGTCCGTATGGCTGCAGTGCACCGCCATCAGCAGGATCTACACTGTGGGGCGCAGTTTCGAGGGCCGGGAACTCCTGGTCTTAGAGCTGTCCGACAACCCAGGTGTCCATGAGCCTGGTAAGGTAGCTGCCTCTGCCATTCCCGGTGGGGATGGGATCCCTGAGGGAGGCAGAGGATTACACTATTGGCGGTGGGGGACGGGGGTGGGGGCTGGAGAAGGGGAAGATGGGTTTAGGGGTGCCTTATGGAAAAAGGTCTGCGGTGGAAGAGTGAAGATGAGGAAGAACCGCTGCCAAACGCTGGGATCACAATCCTTAGTCCTTTTCCATCAGCCCAGACCCTTAGGCCACCCTTTGATAGTCCCCAAAGACTGGAGAAGATGGGGATAGAGGTGAGGAGCAGGCAAACCTGGCGGTCACTGACATTTTACTGAATCAAAGATGTGAGGAACAATTTGGAGCCCAAAGGTAAGGTGTCCATCTTCCTTGCCAATGTGAGTGGAACGATAAGGAAGATAAGGTGCAGGAATAAGGAAACGAAACAGAGTTATCATTTGTTTCCTAATAAGCCCTGAATACCTATCTCTACCTATATCTGTGTATTAGGTACACCCTCTGCTGTAGATGCTCAGATGTGAACCGACATTGCTAATGCTAGGGTGATGGTTTTCACAGACACCCAGGTTCTCTTCTAAGGGCAGTAAAGGCTTCTGACTGGCATTACAATTACACGGGCTTTCTAAGGAAAAAAAAAAAAAAAAAAGCAATCTTGCATTTCCTCTGCTTTAGCCACTTGTAAAGAAAGAGTAGTTTGTGACTAGGTTTTTATTCCAAGAGATGCTCCCAAATAACCATCTACTTCGTCTTTCTACTGAATATGAGTTAAGGCATGCTTTAATTTATGTGTAATGTGATACATTAATCTTAATTAAGAGAAACTTAAAAAAAAATGTTCTTGGGAAACTTTTTTGAGTGTGTTTCTATTTTGAAAATGGTTTAATTATTTAGTCCTGCTCTTCTGATAATAAAGGTACTGTTAACGTAATCTGGGCTACTAGTATCATTGTGGGATCCATGGAATTTTTTGTTGTATTTTTTTTTTTAATGAGAAACAAAGCAAGAAAAATGGTGGAAAATTCTCACGGCTGTACCAGAACAGTTTTATAATGATATATAAGAACCAAACAGAAGGAATTAAAATCAGTGATAGTTTGAAATGTTTTGATCTTTAAATGTTTGGTGTATAGGTTGATCAAAAATAATTCTTCAAACAGTTAACATTTCTTATCTTCAAATAATATAATCAAAAAGTCTGTATAACCCTAAAGTCATAGAAAACATTTTATATACTGTTCGCTAGCAGACTCCAGTTTATAGAATTGCCAGCTTCATTTAGAGAATTAGTTTGTTACTGTCATATGAAGATACATTTTTTAAAAAAGATGTGATAACTCAGTTTCAAATAACAAAAGCAAGAAAATTATACGCACATTTAAAACTAATCTAAATTTTTAAAAAATTTTTCTTTTGCCTACTTCATTAGAGCCCTTTGCTATTCTGAGAGTTTCAGAGATACTATGTGAAAGTTAATATCTATTAATTTTCTGTTGTCTTGTTTAAAGTTTAGTGGTATTACTATCAGAAGGTGAAAACACTAATTCTGTTGTTTGACTATATGAAATGTAAAGTCCATCAAAATTTGTAAATTCCTTTTTTTTAGACTATAAGTTCTGTGTGTTAGGAACCCAGAACAGGTCTGGTACACAGCAGGTACTGAACACATCCTATGAAGAAAATGAATCAATCTATGACTGAATACCACAATGTTTTAAAGTAAAAACATTGTATTCCTCACAAAATACAAAGACTTAATTGATCTTACAAAGAAGGAATACACAGAGTCACTGTAACAAAAGGAAATGGTTGATGTTCAACCATTTCAAGAGGTAGCATATGATCAAGAGCCAATGATACTGATGGAAGAAGTCCAAGGTGCATTGAAGGAATTGGCAAAGAACAAGGCTCCAGGAATTGATGGAATAAAAATTGAAATCTTTCAAGAAAGTGAGGCAGCACAGGAAGCACTTACTCATTTACGCCAAGAAATTTGGAAGACAACTATCTGGCTGACTGATTGGAAGAGATCCCTATTTGTGCCCATTCCAATGAGAGGTGACCAACAGAATGTGGAAATCATAGGACAATATCTTTGATATCCCATGTTTTTTTACTAAAGGTAATACAGAAACGGCTACAAGCATACATTGACAGAGAACTTTCAGAGGTTCAAGCCGGATTCAGAAGAGGATGTGGAGCATGGGGTATCATTGCTGATGTCTGATGGATCTTGGCTGAAAGCAGAGATTATCAGAAAGATGTTTACCTGTGCTTTATTGACTATGCAAAGGCTTTCGATTGTGTGGCTCATGACAAGCTATGGATAACATTGCGAAGTTTGAGTATTTTGGAACACTTAATTGTGCTCATGAGGAATCTGTACATGGACCAAGAGGCAATTGTTTGAATAAAACATGGGAACACTGACTGGATTAAAATGAAGAAAGATGTGTGGCAGGGTTGTATTCTTTCACCATACTTATTCAACATGTATGATGAGCAAATAATCCAAGAAGCTGGGTTATATGAAGAAAAATGTGGCATCAGGATTGGAGGAAGACTCATTAACAACCTGTGATATGCAGATGATACAACCTTGCTTGCAGAAAGTGAAGAGGACTTAAAATATTTACTGATGAAGATCAAAGACCACACCTTCAGTATGGATTGCATCTCAATGTAAAGAAAACAAGAATCCTCACCACTGGACCAATAAACATTTTTATTAATGGACAAAAGTTTGAAGTTGTCAAGGCCTTCATTCTTCTTGGATTAACCATCAACACTCATGGAAACAGCAGTCAAGAAATCAAAGGACATATTGCATTGGCAAATCTGCTGCACTAGACCTTTTTAAAATGTTGAAGAACAAAGATGTCAGCTTGAGGACTAAGGTGTGCCTGACCCAAGACATAGTATTTTCAATGACCTCATATGCATGTTGAAAGGTTGACAGTGAATAAGGAAGATTGTAGTAGAATTGAAGCATTTGATTTATGGTGTTGAAGGAGAGTATTGAAAGTACCATGGGCTGCCAAAAGAACCAACAGATCTGTGTTGGAAGAAGTGCAGCCAGAGTGCTCCTTGGAGGCCATGATGGCCAAACTTCATACTTCGGATGTATGTCAAGAAGAACCCAGTCACTGGAGAAAGATAACATGTTTGGTAAGGTGGAGGGTCAGAGAAAAAGAGGAAGATCCCCAGCGAGATGGATTGGTAAAGTGGCAGCATCAATGGGCTCAAGCATGGCAACAATGGTGAGGTTGGCCCAGGACCAGGCAGTGTTTTGTTCTGTTGTGCACAGGGTCGCTATGAGTCAGTACCTACTCGATGGCACCTAACAACAACAAAGATAAAACAACAACAAAAAATGCTTTATATCATGTACTTTATAATTCCTTGTTAGGTGAAGAGAGCTTTAAGTCCATGTTGTGTTGTTGTTAAGTGCTGTCAAGTCTACTCATAGCGACCCTGTAGAGGGTTTCTGAGGAGCAACTGGAGAGTTTGAAACCACTGACCTTGTGGTTCATACCAACCTTGCGATCCAGTGCTTATCCTACAGAGCCACGCCAGGGCTTCTTAAATCCGTAGCATTGCCTGACAATAGAATGCAAATGTCTATTGTATTTTTAAAAGTAGAAATGTACTATTTTGCAATAACACTTAAAAAAAAAGTCACAAGGGTGATTTTCTTCCTCCTAAGAGTCCTGGTATGGTACTATGGGTCAATGCACTGGACTGCAAGTTGGGTTGAAATAATGGTTGGAGGTTCAAGCTCACCAGGTGCTCCTTGGAAATCCTATATAGGGCTTCTATGGACCGGAACTGGCTTTATGGAACTTAACAAGAACAACACATTTTATGAGAGTATAAGTAAGTCAGCAACCTGAAAGGAACTAATACATGTGGAAGTTTGTTTAGACATATGTTTGATAGTACCTGTATGAATTCACCTTTTAGGAAATTTCAATTAAGGAAAATATTCTTTGTTTTTAAATGGTCTTTTAATTCCTTTTAGATTAAAATATTTAAAGACATTAAAATGAAATATCCATACCTGTGTTTAGGTAAAAATTGATTCATTTGGTGTTTTTTCAGCACCTGCCCATTCAAGGTGTGCCAAACTTATGGGTTATACAGTGATACATTGGAACCAGAAGTCTAAAGGACAAATTGAAAACGTGAGAGATTGTGATAATGTTGGTAGAAGTACTAGAGAGAGGAGTCTAGGGATACTAGGCCACATTGATTTGGGTACTGAAGAATGGGTGCAAAGAATGGATGTAAGAAGGCAGGAAACATAGAAATTATTAAAGTTCACCAATTCTAGTGTTGTTTTAACAGAGCCTACTGTAGGGTTAAGAAAACCAAAAAGGAAGAACACACTCAGCATTTCTCAAGCTGGGGGAAACTGAAGAAAAAATCCAAGCCTATACTTTCGTTATTGAAAGATTCTCTGGGCAAATTATTGAATGAGGCAGAAAGCACCAAGGGAAGATGGAAGGAATACACACAGTCACTGTCCCAAAAGGAAATGGTAAATGTTCAGCCATTTCAAGAGGTAGCATATGATCAAGAGCCAATGATATTGAAGGAGGAAGTCCAAGG